CGCACGCTGTTCACGAAAATCAGCCATTGCAAAAACGACGATCACACAAAACAGTTGCCACTATAAACTCTGCTGAAACTAGTCCTTACCTTCTTCAGCGATGGTACTCGGCGTACCGACTCAGGAATGTTAGTTCTATGCGCTCTTAGCAGCAAAACGCGGTACTACAAAAGCTCTGCCCACCAAAAAATTAGTTCGGTTTCTTTTGGGTACCCCCTCGTATACCAGCTTTTCTTTCTAGTATTTTTGTTTTCTACTAGCACTCTACGCAATTTTATTCCACAAATCGAAGGACAGGTGTGGTGTCTTACTTATCGGTATACGTTTAACAATGCCTTACTCAAAAAAAGAGAAGATCGATCTGATTTCCATTTATCACGAAAAACGTCAGTTCCTTAGAGAAGCTATCCGTCTGTACAAAGACCGATTCGCTGACCGCAGCAGTCCATACTTTTCTAGTTATTTATGTACATTTAATGAAAAAGATCAGTAAAACTGGTAGTGTTGAAAGCAAAAGAAAAAAACCTTTGAAAGTGAGAAGTGTAACACATGAAGCAAATGCGGTTAATGTTCTTGTTCCAATAAATATAAATCCTTAAGTTATCGGTAGACAGCTCTTTCCAGAAAGTGACGTTAGCCAATCAAGTACAGTAAATTCTCTACAAGTGTCAGTAAGTTTGGATTCTACAAGTGACAGTATAGATAGTCCTACGCCTAGGTCTACGTCATTGCTGCGCCCATGTTATCTCGCTCGCAGTCAGTCAAGCGTGTAACGCTACACCCATCGGTTGCCTTTACGAGATTTCACGGCTCGACAAATCATAATAGAAAAATATAATTTCTTTAATTTTACTTTTTTTCATCTGAAATTTTTTTTAACATGTTGGTGAGATTTTTCTGATGAAAATGATATCAAACACGATATAATTATGTCACGCCAGACAGTGAACGTGTTAATAAGTAAATGTTGTTAATACGTGAAAAACGTAAAATTAAAAAAGTTGGTATTTAAATCGCTTGGTTGCCTCAACTCACGTTTCATCCTTATCTTTTATTCGCCGTCCTTGTCTACGTTCGGCAAACTACAAAGGCGGGCGCGAGGCTCTAAACGTAGTCCCTGACTCTACAAGTGTCAGGTTTAACTTCCTTGCGGACTGACACTTGTGGAGAATATACTGTATTGTGCGAATACTTCATTCACATAAATTCCACTCACAAAATAATTAGGTCTTGTGTATCTATTTCATCGAAAACGGTTAAAAAATTATTTCAAAGTCTTGCAGAACGTTTAAATGCCTGTGTTACTACTGAAGGTCACCATGTGTAACGTGTAATTTAATTCAAATAAATTGAATGCATATTTTAAAGTTTGCATTGCTTTATCGTACATTTTTTTAGACTAAGGTCATAATATCCTATATGGTTGAATTCGTCTTGACATCAGCTACTACGCTATGAAATCAAAAATATATGGTGCCATTTAAGGGGCTATTCTAGTCTAGAGCGTCAGTTTTTAGGTCTTTTTTGAGATCTTTTTACAAAGAAACCATAAGACTTTTTGCAGACATGTTTATTCATGCTTTAAAAATATTCACTATTTTTCTTAAGTGAAAATAATCAAAATTAACTGAATTATAAGTTATTTAGTACTGTCCCGTTAAAAAAAAAAGTCCTACTAGCTGACATGATTCCTGACTGAATTCCAAAAAGATTCGTAATTAGAATGAATGAGGTTCTGGTCGGAACTAGGATAAAAAGAAAAATTAAAAATTTTTAAAACGGGGACACTGAAGTTTGAATGTCGATTTTTTTTTCCATCTTTTTTCATGTTTTGTGGGCTATAAAATTAGGAAATTTTAAATTTTTTGTGTCCGTGGTTCCTACGATAACGGAACATCTACTGAACCTGTATGCAAAATTTGAAACTAGAACTTGTGATATCGTGTCAGTCAGTTCAGAAAATACGGTTTCTAAAAAAATGCGTTTAAAGTTTCTTGTACCAGTTTAATGAAAATGGTTATACTTTCAACTAATCTGTCAGACCAAGACCACACAGTGGACCTTCCTCTTGTTCAAAGAAATCCTGCTCAGCTGACTTTTTTTTCTCTACCAACAATCTTAGCCTGCTTGACAGATTCTGTCAATCATTTCCAATAGAGAAAAAAGCATACAGAATTGATGAAAATTCTTCGTTGAAAATACTGACGGCTAAAAACGTGGCGATTTCGACAGAAGCTGCTCCTGAATGTTATGTTTCGATTTATAACGAATTTGACGATTCGTTATTATTTTGTGTTTCTGCTTCTAATCTTCTCTTCAATAATTTGTCTGCAGATGAATTTTCGTAAATTGGTGTAATTACTTCCAAAATGTTATCACTAATTGTAAGAGCTGGTTGTACGTTAATGGATATTGTACGTTGCATGCTGCAAGTTGTGTGCAATGCTTTTTAAATATGTATAATTTCGTTATTTTTATGATTTCGGGCAAATCCTTCTGCAGACATAATTTCGAAAATCTAAACTTTCGGGAAATGCAAAACAAATCGATTTTTTTAAAAGTCTAGTCTAGAATACGTCCTTACAAAACCATCGATGAGCTTTAAAAAACCTTGAAGATAACGTCAATCAGAAGATCTGTTTATATCATGATATTTGTCCCATTGAACAGTTCCTCTTTGACATTTCCTCCTATCTTCAATCCTAACAGAGATATTTAGGTATTCTGTTTCTCGTGACTTATCTTGTATAGGCTAATTATATTTTTAATTATATTTTGCACAAATCACGTCCCTCAATGCAACGAAACCAATGAAAAGAAAAAAATAAAATTCGCAGAAACATTGCCCCAATAAAATTATTAAATTTTGAGACAGAGACTATTCTTAGATACCCAATATTGAAATGTTTTTAAGAAATCTGCATCCTTTGTAGAGTAATGTGTAAGGAAGTGTCTTATAAGGGAAGATGTCAAGATGTAACATCCACTTTCCAATGAAATTTTGCACAATGATAAAACTTAAAATACTGAAACTCATGATATGGTTTTAGCTATACATGGTTAATAATTTACGATATATTTACTGTTAAAGTGTTAGAAAGGGCTTGATGGCGAGAAAACTGTTATTTTTTTTATACACAAGTTTGAATGTATATACAGTAATACAGTCCGCAATAAAACTACAAAACACCTATGATTTTAGTGAATATTGTATTATAGTTCTTTAGTAATCACTTATATGATTGATTGTAATATCTCTCACAACTTCAATGTAAGAAGAGATTATTTAGAATTGCAGATTTCGTAACAAAAAGTAAACCGACAAAACTACAAGACAGAGAATTATTTTTTGAAAAATTAATAAAAACAATTCATGGAAAATAAACTTCATTTACTTATTAATAATGTAAAGGTAAAAACACCTTTGTTTTTAATAACTTCAATTATTCTGTTTGGTAATGATTTACACAAATTTAGAATAAAATTTATAATCTAACGATTTCCATTTATTGAAAATACAATTTTTTAATTCTTCTATATTATTAAATTGTTTATTTGTTGCATAAATTTCTTGTGCAAACATCCTCCAACAATTTTTAATGATTGAAATCAGAGGATTAGACAGGCCATGATAATGCTTCCATATTTTTCGCTTGGTGAAACAGAATTTTCCTTAATTTTTTTACATGTCTTATAGTTTTGTCGTAGAGTGTATAAGTAATACTAATTCGAAATAGTTATTGCTAAATGCAGTTATTACTTTTACCTCATCATGGTAACAAATCAATACTTACAACTGATTATGACCAAGAGATTGTATTTCTATGGATTGTATTACTGCTTTAATTTTAAGTTTGTTTCATTGACTTTTAATTCCCAATACTTTTGTGGTTTTTGTATGTAGTATTTTACTTATAAATAAAAGTATATGTACATCAAACAGTTTGTAAATTGGAGTATATTTTGGTAGTAGGATTTTTAAAGTGCATGTTGGTATATTATCATAATATTTTCATCTTTAAATATGCAATCATACAAAGCAAGATTGGCTTAATCAGACCAAGAGCCTGTAATATAGTAAAAGGCTGCATTTTTTCACATAGGGTTGTTATATTTAGAAATTGTTCACATATAGAAGTATACAATTTTCCTAATGTTGAAGGAGTAATTATAACGTGAAAGTAATGTCGTTTTGTTTATATCTTTCTAAATTTGTAGTCCAAGCTCCATTTGCTTCTTAGAAGCAAATAAAAGCTTTGAGTAATAATTTTCATATAAAAATAAATGCATATTGCACCATACATGAATGACTCATTTTATGTAAACTGTAAATACTGGTTTCCATATTCTTTCCCCCTTTAACTGACAGAGTCCTTGTGACTTTAGTATAACACTATACCTTAGTTTGATTTATTTTAATGACATATTCAGGGTCAAAATTATGAATAATCTGAAATATTTTTGCTGCCTCCATACCTGGTTTTATACTTTCCATTTACTTTTTAACACATATTTTGTTATTCTTCAGTATCAGAATTTAAAGTTTTTCATTCAGTGGCTTGATGTTGAAAATTAAGAATCTTTATTTAAAAATTGAAACGCAATCGGTATTGCCCATTCCTATAGTAATCACACGTTTACAGCAATTGTTTTTTTCTTGCAAATTTTCCAAAAGTGATAATACATATGTATATGAATTAATTTTAATTTATATTTGACTAAATCACTATTTTCAATTTATTTTTTCTACTATAATAATTGAATTCCGTATCTAAATCTCAAATATTACAATATATATGAAAATTATCAGCTATACCATTTTCACTCGAATAGCCCATTAGGCTTTTATCGTCACTTTCATACAACAAATTCAAAACAGACATGTTGCAGGGATTATTATTTCTAATACTCACACTGAAACTATATAATTATATATTTGTAATATTTGTTTTATAGGTGCACTAAAAGCGAATTTAATTAGTGTAAAATTCTTGTAGTCTCAGAGACATCAATGTTTACAATGACATAATAAACAAATGACATATCCCAGACATCTTTGTATGTCAAGGGGTTAAGGAATTATGTAGTTAGTCCATTGCATTGACCAGATTCTCTTTCAGGATATATGTCCTTGAAGTTTTTAAATAATTATCTGCCAATATTATTGAAAGCTGACCCATGTGCAACAACAATAATACAGTTGATACAGTTTCGATATGATGGAGCTCCTGCATATTTTATCACAGCAATGCTATGTGGCCTATATGGTCTTCTAGATCATCAGATGTGTCATCGATAAATTTCCTAACTGTAATAGATTTCTTCCTAACTGTCTCTTCTGTCTACTTATTACATCAAATACATCACAACAAATTTATCAGCCACCATTATTCTAAATTTGACAGTTACATAGAAGAAAATAATCATTTTGAATACCTATTATAGCTTTGCAATGTAAATAGTACCTAACCAATGTATGTACATCTTCTTAAGTTTTTGTTTTTAACACCATATCTATAGAACTTTTCAAATCACCTCTTTCAAGAAGATCAAAGAACAATCGTACACATTGTATTCTACTCAGTCCTAACCTTACATTTTTAAACTTTATTATTAGTTATTTCCTTTTCATTTCTGAAAACTTTTAGTATTTTTACCTTTAATTTTTATATTTTAATAACAGTATAGTAAGCTTGACAATAATATAGCATAGTCTACTAATATTTATTTAAACCATTTTAAAAACATGCAGTAAATAATTACATATGTGCTTACGTATTTAAATAGGCATTAATATCTAGTGATGGGTTATTTGCTTTTACACAGTTATAATATTTATATATTTATAATCTTGATTCACTCATCACTTAACAGAAATCACACTTGGCACATAAAGTATCTTATAGAAACTTTCGGAAGAAGTACTTTTGTTAATTCCACTAACATGTACTTATTTAAATGTAACCGATTTATGATACAGTTAAAAATGACGCGATGTTTTCAAACACTATTTCGATTATCGCTCGTACCACATAGTA